GAAGCAACATGTCCAAGTGGACCAACCATGTGTCAACTTTGCATTGTCCTTTCAGAATGCCTAAGTTATAAGCTATTTGTATTAGTTATTATTCCAAACTCCTTTAAAGAGAGGACAGCTTCAGAAAATGAGAAGAGAAGGATAATATCTACTTTTCCAGGATCAGGTGGCGGGGGCAGTGGGGAGAGAGCTAGCCTGGCAAACTACACGGTATCCATTTGTTGTTTTATAAATGTTACCCTGAAAGATTGACACCTCAATTCCTGGTGGATTATTATGGTTTTGAGTAGATAGGTTTTCTTTTCAGCATTACACTCATTTTTCCAAGGAGGTGTAAAATTTCTTTTTCTTTTTGACCATAGAAAATGAGAAGCTAGGGAGTAATTATCTTCTCTCCTTCTCTCAAAGTGCTAATTCATTACATGTCCATCCACAGGACTGGCTATCAAAGCATCATCACTGCTTGGGGAGAGAGAATATCTTTTCCTATACTCTGTAGTTTTTTTAAGGGTTTTTCCCCCCCTCTCTTTACTAAAGCATCTGAGCCATCTGTACTTTTTAATTTACTGCTTCCAAAATGACAGGAGGAAAACATCCTTTTCCCAAAGGACAAAATAATGTTTGAACAGACAGCATCCCCCAATCTAATACCCATAAAATATACTGGGAGGGGGAATCATTCCCAACAAGCACCCTGGCTGGGAGTAATGATAATTACAATCTAACACTGTGGGGAACCCCACAGTGGAAGCATTGGGGTGATAACCATCCAATGTATCAAGCAAATAACTGAGTATGGGAAACCTGTGGTCCTCCAGATGTTGCTGAACTACAATTCCCAGTAGCCCTAGGCAACAGCAAGAAATCTGTAAGACACCTCCCCCCACCCCTCAATGGTGTATCTTATTGTTAGTATCATTTGCACTGAATAATTTCATCTAAGTATTCATGGACATTGGAGTGAATTGTAAAAAGCCCAAGTACATGCTTGATTAGCTAGCTGCTCCAGTGAGCTCCAAAATAGCTAGAAATGCCATGGGAACTACTGCTATGGCAACGTATGGAATTGCTGGCACTTGGCCTCTTCTCTATGTGTAAGGGTATTTAATTGTGGAAGATCCTGAACCTCTTCAGATGCTCCAGAGGAGATAGGCATCTGTGGCCCCACTAGAAAAAATACAGGCAACCTTCCCCAGTGTTGTATCCTCATAATTTCTTGAAATTCTGTTCCTATCATCCCCAGCCAGCATATATGGGAAATTCTGTTCCCATATATATTCTGGGGGACAGCAGATTGGGGAAGACTGTGTTAATAGGCCAAGGAGGGCCAATGGTGCTGCAGAAACAACAAACAGAGACAAATTTCGGCCAAGTTCAAACTGCTGATCAGCCAAGTCAACTCAACCCATTAGACTTTCATTGGTTGGTGGGAGGATAATTAAAAGACACTTTTATATTGACTGATATTGTCACAGTGACCAGAGATCCCCTTGTACCAATCAGTGAAGTTTCTCCTAAAAATAACAAAAGCTTGGTATCAGTTTGGAAAGTTCCTACTTTACAGTGTCCATTTCTCCATCCTGAATTAACTCATTTGCTAGCTGAACACATCAATATTCTCATTTCCTTCATGCTCCAGGTGTATTTCATATACCTGTGTGTGGGTTTTACAATGACAAAGCTCTTGTACTTTTAAAATAAGCACATATATTCAGCAAATGAAGGCCTAAATAAAAATAATAGTGATCAAGAAAGTAATATTTGTTGACATTCAATTCTGAAAGGCACCAGACTTTCTGTGATTGGGAAAAAAAAGTGATAACTCTATTAATAGATAAGAAATGATAGAGCTAGAAATATGTCCTCCTTTAGCCCTTTTATGTTAGACACCTTGGTTTCCTCCTCCTCTCCACTTGTTCATAATTGTGAGTTTCATCAGACACCTGATCTCCTCTGGTCCTTTGAGCACTGCAAATAGCTGAGGCTCCCTTCAGAAGGAAATCACTCTAATACTAATGCTACTATAATGAATAAATACTACACCACCCTGGGTCTCATAGGAGCTTTCCATGCTTGCATCCAACTGTGACATAAAATGCTGCTGCAACAAGCTTTTTCTCATGATGTTGCCTTATCTGACCCTCAGCCCTTACCTGAGCCAATGTTATGTCATCCTCAACTGTTCCGGTGCTAAATTAGCGCTTTCCCTCCTTAGTCATGGATACAGTTTGCCATAATTCATGGCTATTCTATCAATCATGAAGTCAGATGATCCTCTAAAAGGTGGTATCAGCCCAACTTCTCTGGACCATAGGCATAGCCCTCCAGGACTATACTGCTTTGGCCAGTGGGAGTGTCTGGTTCTTTTCAGCTGGCCTCTTGTGCCCATTCAGACTTGGCTTTGAAAGACGGATCAGCCCAACTAACAGACAGGCATCTGTGTGATACCATGGGGATCTCTCACCACACTGTAGAACATCATGGTGCACAATCTCATATTATATGGCAGGTGTGGTCATCTGTGTGGTGCAGCAGGAATCTCCTTAGATTGTATCACACCACCCTCATCTGTCAGCTGTTAAGTCAGCCTGACATGGTGCTTCCTCAGGTATCCATTTCTTGCTTTATATTTCTTTTCCCTTGATTAGCATAGATTGAGGAGATTCTTATTGGGCCACTTGGACTAGGATGGGGAGACCTAGGTTCAGCCATGGAAACTCACTGGGACTTTAGGCTAAACACAGATCTCTCTGTCCAATCTATCTCAACCTGAGAGGAAAATCAGAATTATGTGTGTGCCACATATACCTTAAGCATCCACAGCAGTGATTCTCAAGTGAAACTATGATCAACCATATCATCTTCAGATGAATGTTTTTTATGTACTTCTCCATAGCAAGTATGTTGTTAATTTTCATACCTTTTGCATTCTGATTCCAAAATCCCTAAAGAAAAGTACAAATATGAAATATAATTAATGGGGATTTCACTGACCTGGAGATCCATTCACCCCTGGCTCCTTACCACTCAAGAGATTTTACTGAAGAACATTCACGTTAGCAAGTTTGTGCCAACAGATATTGTTGTTATGCCAAGGGTACATAACATAATTCAAATTCAAAATAATAATAAATAACTTAATTTTGGATTACATTTTGGGTACAAAATTTATTTTAAAAAGCCTTTAATGTAGAGGAAGTAGGAAGGCATATTGTATATAAATGCAACCATAATCATTATCTTATTTACCAAAAAATGTGAACTCCTGTGCTCTTAAAGACAAAAAATTAGAGAGGGGCTCTTGGCTTCTGGATGTTCCCTGCATTTCCACATGTTTATTCAGTGGTCTGCAACTGTTTGAGAAACAATGTCCCAGAGGAAAAACATATATAATGAGATATCTCTAATGAACAAAGGGCTGTTTATTTGAAATGCTGCCATTTTGTTTTCCCACTATTACAGTTCCTCAATAGTTCTTGCTCAGGACTCTTCAGACATTTTGTGTCCAATGATACATGTACTTGTGAGACTCTGGGAAACAGTGTGTTATACAGGTAGTCCCTGGGATAAAAATGCCCAGGTTACAGACCCATAGTTAAGAACCAAGCCTATTGTGGCAAAATTCAAGTTCAATACACAATGATTTGCATTAAATACGCAATGGTTTGAGTTCATTACACCATACTACTTATACAGTATTATACAAATTCTTACATACAAATTTGACTTAAGGACAGACCTTGGGAACAGATCTCATTCTTAAACTGGGGACTACCTGTAGTCAGGGCATGAACAATCAGGTCACCTATGGAAATTGAGATTGTGGCCTCCCTTCCGCTCAACTTCCTTGTTTGCGTTATTTATTTCTGATCCAAGTACTCATACATTAATTGGCTAGTAAGACTACTTAGAAAGGACTAAAATTCCCAATTTTTTAAACTCCCAGTCAGTTCTGGTTCTGGCTGCCCCACAAGGCAGGCCTAGGCCTTTCTCTCATTAGTGATGTATAATGTCAGCCAGCCATTGTTGTGGTGATATGAAGTCTGTCATTATTACAGTATTCTTATATTAGCACAGCAATCCTTGGATGATGACACTATAAACCACTAGTGAGGAAATGGCCCTAGGGAGAAAGGTCAGACTCCAGAATCATAGTCAGTGGGAAACAGAAAAACAAAACAATTCCCCCTTCCAAAAAATATTCACGTATCTGGAAGCTCAGAAGTTCTTTAAAGGCTCTTTCACTCTTCAACTCTATTTTAGACAGCACACAAGCTATTCTGCAGTTTTAGAAACAAACACCCTTCCCTGACTTTGCTGCAGGACGCACAGAATGGAATTGTATCTCCCTAAGCCTCGGTATCCTTCCAATTCCAAACATTTAGATACAGTAGTCGTAAGACAGAATGCAACTGACAAACGAGTCTAGCCACTGGGTATTTATGCAAGCCTTTCCATTCATCTCTTTCGCACCGATGACAAAATGAAGAGCCCCCACCCGCAGCCCCAGCCATTCACCGCAATCTTGCTCCGGATTATGTGGGAAATAACGGCGCCCTGCGCATGCTAAGAGACGAATTATGCTATCGACGGCGCCGTGGAGCCTTCCGGGTGTCAGTCTCCTGCACAGAAAAATTGCCTCTCGGGGACCGGGCGCTCTTCTCCCGGCTCGGCCAGGCGACCTCCGCGTTCCCTTCCGCAGCGGCCGACAGAGAGCGACGGAGAGCCGCGCAAGGCGCAACTCAACCAATGGTGCGCCACCGAATCACCCGGAGGAAGCCTCCCGCGCGCACGGTTGTTGTGTACAGTTTGGAAAGATCTCCAGGGGACTCGAAACACCAGGAGGCGGGCGAGGAGAGGCGGCGGCCGGCCACTGGCGGAACCCTGCAGACCGGTCCCAGATGGAGGGCGGCGGCAGAACCGCCTGAGGCGAGACATAGCCCAGGCGTCCGCTTGCCAGCTGTCTCCCCAAAGGGAGGGCGGCGTAATTTGGCTGGGGGACTCCAGCGCCCGTTGAATGGCGGAGCCGAAACGTGGCATTGGTTTTGCGGGGAGAATTAATCTAGCTCGGAGCAGAACCCGCGCACGGCGAAAGCCAGTTGTCCTGTGAATCTGGCCGCTCGCGAGGGATCCACACGTGGCTACAACTGCAGTTGCTGTTCGCTTGCTGCAGCCTGCTTTGTCGGGGCACCCCGTTACCATCATGAAGGAGACGAGCGAGTCCAAGGATCAGCAGCTCACGGTGAGTGGAAGTGACTTTCTCTCCTCTTTCGGGCAGCAAAGAGAAGCGGCGGGAAAGCGAGGGGACGGTGGGGTGGGGTGGGGTGGGATGCAGTCAGCCGCTGAGGACTAAAGCAACCTTTTTTCCTCAACCTTCCAAAAGGGTTGGGACTCGAACTCCCAGGATTCCCAGCCGGCATGACCAATAGAAAGCAAAAAGCTGGCGGAACTTGAGAGAGAGAGCGCAAAGCCCTTGCATAGCTTCTTGAACAATTAGAAGTTGGGGAGAAAAATTTAATACAGTTTTCGTTTAAACTGTTTTCTTCGATTCTAGTGGCAAGAAGAAAACAGCAAATACAGCAAAATGGAATTGATTTGATTTGTTAGATAATAAGTACCTGAAGTATGCGAATAGATGGTTGTAAGGCTGTCTTCTGGACTTAAGGGACCTGTCCAGTCTCAAAAGGGATCTAGACTTACCTTTTTCCATCAGCACAGCGGATCCCAGAGATTGGAATAGCAATGCACATCAGACTCAGTTCAGTCTTATGCCTCAGAGCGAAATGGTCAAGCTGCACTACAAATAATACCCAACCTCAAAAGGTGGATACCCGCATTTCCTCCATGTTATGTTGTTTTATTACCTAGACACAGTTGTTCGGATTTTTATGGCTAATCAATGCTCTCTGTCATACTGCCAAAGAAAATGGGAGTCAGTGAGGCTTGGCTTCTTTATATTAAAGTCTTATCTAGCTGTGCCCTCAAAAATAGTGGGCGTTTTCTGACCATAATTCTGTGTTCCCAGAATGTACATTATAAGCACAATGTTAATTGTACAATTTCATCTTCATAAATTGATGTTCAGATAAGGAAGAGCTTTCATGGTAAGATTCAGTTCTGCTGTCCTATACGGTTTATTTTGTTTTTCTTTAATTGTAATGTTTGCATTTTAATACATATCATTGAGCAATATGAAGAAAAGTAAAACAGACTTCCATATCCTGGAGCTTCCAATGCAAAATAAAGCAGTTGTGGGAGGCAGCAGAATCCAGCAGAAATATGAATGGAAAAGAAGCGTAAATAGCCTTGGCTACTCAGTAGAGTAGAAAAGGGAAGTATAAATTGGAAATATCTCTCCCTTGCTGGGAATGTGTACAGTTTTTCAAACATGCTTTATAAGCTGCATTACACAATTTAAACTACTTGGTGACCTTTTAATGAAAGCAGTATGTAAATATTATACATTAATGTACAGTTACACATTCAGTGCAAGGAGAATATCTTGTAAAGCTGTTTTGAAAATATATTGCATTGGAATATATATTGTACTGGAGCACTGGAGGGGATTGCCTTTGTAATCAGTGCTGTGATTGGGGTGGAGAGGGGTGTATGAAATAGGTTTTAAAAGTGAAGGAACATTTAAAGAATACTTTCAGAGCTGCCAGATGTACAACAACAAAGAAACCTTTCTTGGAGAATGAACACATGATAGAAATAATGCCTGGCTTCACCGGGAATGGTTTAATTATCTTTGAAATCAACAGTACCGTGGGATGTGTACTTTCTACGTCTGGAGCAGTGAACCTCTCCAGCCCCCTCCCTGCAATTTTTGGTGAACCACAGCTCCAAACAGATACTACAGCATTGCCAATGGTGAGGGAAATTGGGAGTTGTAGTTCAGGAAATTTTGGATGATGGCCAAAAGTTCCCTGTTCCTACTCAAACAGCATGAAGAACAGAAAGTGAGCTATTTTTCAAGGGTTCAGGCCCTGCGTTAAAAGTCATCTCAGGATAACAGATGAAGCCCTGCCTATAGGCTTGGGACAAGGGAGTCTGTGCACTGGGGTTCATCCCTGACTTTGTCTGTATGGGTAATAGTGAACAGAAGTCACTAAATCTCTTGAGGCTTTAGGCCATTGGCTTTAGAGGTTGAGTGGGATGAATCTCATAGGCTGACGTGGCTGTAGCTGGATCTGTTGTTCCAGAAATGCTGCTGTCCAGGTGGTGTTTCCTTTCCTCCCAGGAAAAAAACCTCTCATTGTCTGTTTGCAGCTGCCTGCCAGGGCCTCAGAGAGACACAGATGGTTTCTCTCTGTAGTGATAGACAGACTCAGGTGAGACACACTGGGCAAGGAGGAGGTGAAAGAACTTGGGAGTTGAAGGAACTCTGGGAAGGAACTCTGCTTACACATTGGGCCTTGGATGGCCAGGGCACGGAGAGTGAGGACTTCCATGCAGGTGCGATTTTTCTCTCTGTTGTTCTTTGGCTTCACTAGCTGTCAGATACCTCAGCCACTCATCCATCTTCTTGTATTTTAGGTTGCCCTTCGCATACGGCCAATCAGCATGGCAGAGCTGGAAGAAGGAGCCACACTCATTGCTCACAAAGTGGATGACCAGGTATTGTGGGAGCCCTTCCTGATGAATGGGTAGAATTCAGTTGACCCTCATTTTATGAGCTGAACTTTGAAGCTAGAATTAAAATTAGTTTCTGGAAATGCCCCCCCCCCCAGGGGGAAGCACATTTCATTTCTTTAAGAACTCATGTCAATGCAATATGATGCAAGTCTGAAGTTCCAGTATGATATAGGAGCAGGGGAGGTGGGGGAAGCATTACCATTTAATATAAAGAAAGTTTGTTAGGTCAGCAACCCCTGATCTGGAAGTTGTTCTGAATCCCAGAGATGAGAGGAAAAAAGGTATTCTATCCATAGAAGTTCTTCTGTTCAGAGTTACAGTCTAGAATGTTTTGCCACTGCCTATGGTGGCAAGGCTTAATGGAACAAAGCCCAGAGGCTGGCACTAGGTTGTCAATCTTTGGTATATACAGGAAAATAAAAACTCCTTTATTATAGATCTCAGACTATTTGCACACCTAACTTGCTGCTGTGTTCTCTGAATGGCAGCAACCAGGTCTCAGGCAAATAAAAGACAGTACGAAAAGGATCAAAATCTGATCCTTTGAACTGGAGTTTCAGGGAAATAACTTGCCATTTATAGCTTTGAGAATGTTTACTTTTCCCCGAGTGGTGTGTTTTATGTAGCTTTCTCATCAGCATGAGGTGGCTTTCAAGTTTGTTTTTCTAAGTTCTTCAGAGCATGGATGGTAAAGGATGGGTCCTGCTTTCTTGAGAAACTGAGCTTGGCTAGTTGAGCCTCCTCTTGGCTACAAAGCTCTCAGAAACGTGTCTCATTAGCAGCTGCTAAGTAGCCATGCTTGGTTCCCATTTGCTGAAGTCAGGAGGGAAATTAGTATCTTGATTAGAAGGATATATTTTCTCTCCTCTTGAGAACTAATGAGAAGAGTTGAGTATGATTGACCCAGCAAGTCTGACTCCTGAGACCCAGACGGTCCCTTGTGGAAGCCAAGCTGTTGTATCCACATGCTATATTTGCTAGGTTTGAGAAATTACATCAGGTCTGAGCATTTGTGGCAGATAGTTCTTGCAGGTTTAGGGAAATGGGTTTTGTAAGTCTCCTTTGTATTTTTTGTACTGAAGTGATGATCAGACAAACCCAATGTGTGCATGCCATGGTGTCCTGATTCTAAACCTCTTAAAAACAATTGTTAATTGCCACTGTAGGACACTACCAGATTGTGTGTATCTACTCTGCCATATCTGTATATTTCTGCTTGATTCTCAGAATACCCATCGATAGTTTGTATCATCAAAATGCTAAACAAGAAGAGTAAAGGCCATATGAAAGGTGTTACTGGGACATGAGGAAAATCTGGGACGTCAGGTGGATCAGTCGTTTTTAATCTCTTGGGAGAATCTGTTGCCTTTTTGTTTTCCCATATCTAGCAAGCTAAATGTGGTCATAGGGAGAAGGGGCAAGCTGAACCCCTGTTACCATAAAGAGGGAAAATTAGACTAAGTTGTAGATTTTAAAACTTTAGGTTAAATTGTAGATTGTGTTTGAAATGTACCCTTTTGGGCTGGTTTTGTGGGTGCACTGATAGTTTAAAACAAGAAACACTGTGTACACTGATCCAGCTCCTTGTGGAAGAAAAAGCATGCATAGGCAGTTGAACTACATCTTGTTATTTAAGAGCGAGAGGGAAGTTTTCTGATACCATCAGTTATCCCAAGAACTGCCACTGCAGATGGACAAAGCATTTTAATAATACACCACTGCCAAGATTTACAGGTCGAAACTATGTGAGTAAATGTCTGGTGCATATAGCCAACATGTCATATTATACAGTCTGGCTACAAATATATACATCAGATAACCAGAAATGGAATGGGATTAAACAAAGGGAGGATTTTAAAAAGCTAAAGGATACCAATAAATGTTCCAGTTTTTCAAAGCAGACCAGACCTGTCTGTACTCTTGGTTAGGCAATCTGTTAATTAGAAAACTAGATGAATAAAAAAAACAATAACAAATAAAACGGTTTATTAAATAAAAACTCTGGCAACTGAAAAAAATAAAAATTGCACAGATGGATTAGGTGACTCCAGTTCAGTGCTTTCAAAAGATAGACAGCTAACTGCAGTTAGCAAGATGCAGGATACTATATTATATTATTTATATCTTTTTCCAAAGTTCAGGTTTATGACTAGTGCAAATTAGCACTCATCAAAAATAGCAGCTGTTCTAAATTACATCATCCAGATACTTTATCTATTCATGTTGAAGCTACCACAGAAGAAATTAAAGGTATGGAGAATTGCCATGAAGTTTCAGTTCTAGAGAATCAGAAAAAAATACAGCTTTAAAATTAATTGGCATATTTATAAAATGTTTGCAGCCCGACTGAGGTACTCAATAGCTTTTTTGAATCAGAACATTCCAATTAGTTGTAGCTTTCCATTGTACGTCCATACTGTGTACCTATGATGAAGCAGACAGGTATGGGCTCATCATGGAAATAACATTCATTTAGGAAATCGCTGCATATAAAACTGATGATGATTGTGAGGTAGCCCAAAGTTTGGGACAAGGATGGAAGTAGTGAATCAAAGATAAATGGATATCTTAGCAGGCAAAGATCTCATAACAATTCCTCCAAGGTATTCAGTTAATTGTGCCTTACTATTTCCTTGGCTCTCTGACCAGTGTATGTGGAGGCAGGGAGGGAGTTTCTGTGACAACATTATGAAAAGAAACCATGTAGATGGCTTTGTTGTTGTTTTAAGAACAGGAGCACCTAGTAAAAAAAAAAAAGGCAAATTTGAACTGATCACTGTAGTTATTTGTGCACCCCCAATAGTACAGCGTGAAGGGGGTCCCTCCCTATCTCTTAGAACTAAGGTTGCCATGGAGACAGCTTTTCTCACTGCCCCATCCAGCTTAGGACAATGCTTTATGGACCATGCCAGCAAATTGTTTACAGGAGTGATTTGTCGTCATGACAATAAGGTATTGGATTCAAAACAGGGCTGAAATTAGGCAGTAAGAAGGAACAACATCAGAATTGCTTCCGGGCATGATAGCAGGCAGTGGATATACAAACCACAACCCTGTCTGAATCTGAGGTGTGTTTCCTCAAGATGAATGCCCTTTGGTCTGGCCACACGCCAGAACTACATTTTAATCAGAACTAATTTTCAGGGCCACAGAATAAAAGTTACCAAGCAGTCTTTGTTGGTGCTTGCCAGCGTCATTCTACAGTGTCAGAACACACTCACAGCATATCCCCAGTAGAAATTATTTCCAGGTCAAAAAGGAGTATCAGATTCCCTTTTCCAAATTAAGCAAAGACATTGGGTCTTCCTCAGCCTGGTCTTTCTATTGTTTATTCTATCATCATATCCAGATCGGAAAGAACAATTAGTCCTGTTCTGTTTATGATTATTAATTTTAAAATATGCACTTTTTAATATGTCCACAGGTGAGATTAACCCATTTCCTCAACATTTTGCATGTTTTAAACTGTCCATGAACATGCATATGTAATTTTGTGTTCATTTTCATACACCTGAAAATCCATAAAAAAATCTATGCCTTATTCTATACTCTGTTTAATTTTTGTAAACAATTTTCCATAACCTGTGCCTTTTTGTACATGTATTTTAATTAAAGAATGAAATCATACAAATTGAAGAAGTATAAATACCAAAGGATAATTGTGTATTAGTTTTAGAAGCACAAACCACATCAGTTAATGTAAAAATGCAAACCTAATAAATTCTTCTCCCAATCCCTAATAGCAGGAAAGATGCCCACATTCACTCCAATATGCAAATAAATTTACTTTCAGGCATAAGAGTAAGAATTATTCATGTAAACAAGAAGCCAGCTAGGGTTGTGACTGATTGTGGAGTTCCTCATTTTGATCCTTTCTTGTTAACTAAATGCTGTGATAATGTATTAATCGCTAAGTGTTCTTAAATAATTTTATTAATTTTCTGAAATGAATAAAATGTCCAAGTTCTTTTACCCAGTAGAAAACCCCCCCTCCAACTTATTTAGATTATTCTATAATGATGTTAGTTTTAGCTTTTATACTTGAGACGGATTTGTATTTGTTTGCAAATCAAATTCTTCCAGAAAGGTTTGCTGTAGTTGGGTAGCAGCCTTCAGTTGGTGTCAATTTGCCCATATAAAAAGCATAGCTAAGACTCTATAAGTTTATCTGAAGCACTTGCCTCAGAAAGTGTAATGGATCAACTTTGAACAGACAGTTCTACTCCATTTTCCACTTTGGGGCAATGTCCTATCTTGTGGGATGGAGCATTAAAGAATATCAGTGACTTCTTAGGAATGCTTTCTGTGACAGGATTTGAAACAGATAAAATTACTAGAAGTGCTAGCAAACAGAGCACCCACCTCTGAAATGTTTCCCAAGGCTCAGAATTTTAATTTTGCTGCTGAATTATGGCAATACAATTTGGGGCCATCTGAGGACAGGTTGGGGACCTTCCATTTCTACTTTTATGAGGAGGTATCATACAGTCAAAAATTGGTTATTTTGCCACCAAATTTGAGTGATGCAGTCTGCATGCTTGGGGGGAGGTATAAATTGGACACTACATGGCAGCAGGTTGTGTATCCCGGGGATACTTGTTTTCAGCTTATTGAAAGATTATCTACACCACATCGAGTCCAAGTTAGAATCTGAAATAGATCATTTTAAATAATTTCTCTAATAATGTTTAAGAACTAGTATTATTCTTTTTGAGAGCTAATAGCATATTAGATATCAACTGGACAAAACCCATTTCGAGGTTAAAATTCAGAGATATTCAGACTCTGTTAAAAAATTATTTGAATCAGCATTCTGTCAGGGCAGAGTGCAAAATGTGTGCATCTGCAATTTCTGAAGCCAGGAAACTTGGAAGTCTTCAAAAAGGTACTTCTGCTTACTTAAATTGATAAACTTTACCTTGGCCTCAATTGTTTCTTGGCCCCCAAGGGCTGCAGGAGTGACATCATATGCGGGTAGGCAA